CTCATTCACAATGCAAACTAATCACAAAAACAATTGCTGGTTGATAAAATCACTTTGGGAAAAAATGCATAAAATTGTGAGACAGTAGTAAGGGGGGGGGGGTGAATGAAAACATAAATACCGAATCGATTTAATCGCTAATAACGGAAACATACACTTGCAGGCCGTGTCAATTGTTAATGTGATATTACCGCCCATAGTACATTTTATAAATTATTGATAAAAGCACTGCAAAGACAATGCACTTAAAATTAACCTATAACTATTGTGTATAATTAGTAGGAATCATGTCACACCCTTGGAGCAAGACTGCCAAAATTCAAGTTCTGAGGAAATACAATTTAAAGATTGAACCTGCTCCCAAAGTCCCAAATGGTTAATTTTAACTTTATAAGCTTTAATTTTAATACTATTCAATTATTTTTTTGTTACCCGGTGCTTGTTATTCTAATTTCAAGCTACTTAGTTAAATCTCAGCCAGACACCACAATTTGAGGTTACGGCTAACAATAGGTTTTAACAAACTAAACTGCCAAATTTGTTTGTTGTGCCAGTTTACCATTTTAAATATTTTATAAGCCGTAATGAGAAATGTGACAATTTTGTTTTTATTTTTAGATTATTAATATATTGCTACAAGACAAAATGTGGCAGTTTTTTATTATTTCACCAGTGTCATCTGGTTAAGAATTATTATCAAGTTGAAAGTTTAAACGCCTCAAATCGAAATGAGACAGTCTTGATTTATTATGCTTAAGTATAAAAAACTGTAGCAGGATTATATTTTATTTTAACGGAAAAACCCAAGAAATTTATTACAGAAACGTTGGTTGGGTTAAACGTCAATTCATGTCCAGCCGGACACAAGGGCATTTGTTCCCTTAACCTTTTTTTTTCATCTACCTATTAAATTATGATAAAGACAATTTTGATCTGATAATACCATTAAATAAAAAAAGGAAATGTAGATAATACATTTTAAAATTTACTAAAAGAACTTTTTAGACTCTTAGGAAGAATTGTATGCCTTCCCGGTCGTTATTTTGCTAAATTCGTTTCTTGTGACTACATTTTGCACACCGATAAAGAAAACAAAATGAGAAATCGTTGTAAAGCAAACACCCAATATTAATACACGTGTACCTTCGAGTATATTACAAAAACATGTTATTCTACTATTTTGGATAAATCAAAATACACTAGGAAATTGATTGATTCATTAAGAACAGGACACTAGTTTTCTCTTAAAATAATAGCATTTTTGTAGCTTTTATAATAATTGGAGACACTTAAGTTGGTGTTATTTAACAATATTATAAGACTATTACTAAACATTTACCTTTTCTATTTTTTTTTCATAGCTCAGTATTTTTACAGAAGCGTAGTGCCAGCAGAAAAAATAATATTTCACTCCACTCTTCCTCCCGTCCTAATTTTTAATGTTTAATAACTCCCAAAGTAATTAGCCAAAACTGGTTATCGACCGGTATACTATTCAGAAAATAATTCTCAGTTTAAATAGTAAATTAAATGTGTACACAAGTTACTATTTATGTTTTTAAAAGTTGATAGGCTTATGGAATATAATTAAAAAAGGGTTAATGTTTAGTATTTTTTTTATAATATTGTAAAATATGATAACCAAAAATGTTTTCAAAAAAGAAATACTACTAAATTGCAATTATTCTAAAGCATACTCATTCCATCTTTAAACCATGACAAAAACATTCGGTTTGAGTTCAATAAAGTTGTTTTTATCAATTTTAAAAATACCCATTGCTACTTCGTGTTCCGCTCAATTTGAAAATGTTTAAAACGGCAGAGACCATAAAAGATGGTGGACAATTTTCAACAAATTAGGGGTTCCGTTTTAGGCTAATACGAACCAATAAGTCGTTAATGATTCGGCCATTACATAGGTGTATAAATTATTTTTATAATTGTTAGAGAGTGATGATTTTGTATAATTTCGCACATTGGCGCATGTGTTTCGCAAAGTTACACCGAGTTCAAAAGTAAATAAAGATTTATAGGTACTATTTTCTATGGAAGTATTATTTATCGAATTCTCGTCTTAGCATTAACTCGAAAACACAATTTTTTTACTATAGAAAAACCCTTGGGTTGTTCGATGTGCGTTGCCATTTCCACTGTTTACATAAATTGAAATATACGAATCGACAAAGTTAAGGTCTTAAGAAATTCATGGCCAACCCGACTTATTGACGATTTTCTAGAATAAAAAAAAAGTAAACAATTTACGTGAATTGTTTTTGGTTTTTTTTGTAATACAATGTTTCTTCAAGGTCGTTGTAATTTTTACCCCTTCGATGAGGGGATTTTAGGGAGGGGTGATTTTGCAATATCTTATAGCAACTTGTATGAATAATTAATTTAGACATTTATGTTAATCTATTTTTTTAGTAAAATAGACTTTCATTGGACTTTGAAGTTCATAAAATAATTTAAAAGAGCCGTAGGATAAATCTAATCCAGATAGCTAAAGACCTATAAGTTTACTAACCTCTTTATCAAAAATATTTGAAAAAGTTATACATACGAGACTGCTAAATTGTTTGACTAGTGTAGATGCCATTCCTTACTTAAAATTCCATTACTCATTTAATATAATTAACTGCTTCTTATCGAATAGACAATTCACTGTCAAAATAAATGATAATATCTCTGACCTTCGGTCTATCTCGGCTGGAGTTCCTCAAGGCTCTAAACTGGGTCCCATATTATTTAATATTTATGTAGCTGACATTCCGCAGTCAACAAGTACTAATATTGCCCTCTTCGCTGACGACACAGCTATTTACAGTGAATCCCGTAATATTGAAGTGATAACTGTCAACGTACAGGACCATCTCGATATATTATTAAACTGGTGGAAAAACTGGAAAATATAAACAAATCCTTCAAAAAGCACAGGAGTTATTTTTAGCCTACGTCGTTATTGTACACCGGTACCACTACAATTTGATAATGAGCCCATACCTTGTCGACCTTCAGTCAAATATCTTGGAGTCACATTGGATAAAAAGCTAACGTGGTGGCCACATATATCAAGCAAACTACAACAAGCATAACAGCGCCTTTCGACGTTGTTCCCTACACTAAATAAAAATTCCACAATACATAAAAAATGTTCACTATTAATATACAAGCAAATTCTACGTCCACTACTCACCTACGTTTGCCCTATTTGTAGTAGTTGTGCACATACACACTGAATAATAGCTAACGCTTCCTGGTTCGAACGCAACAAAAATGTACACAAAGACTTCCAAACTAAAAACATTCACGATTTCATTAGCACTCTGGTGGGAAATTTTCATAGCTCACTACCAAAATCAACCGGTTCTCTTTACTACAATCTACACATACATCCACCAGTCCATTGACGCTTAAGACGCGGCCGTCCACGTGACCTTATTAATTAATTACTCTTATTATTATTATATGTCTAAATACTATTTATAACTACTATTAACTATCTTGTTTAACCTGTTGTTGTTGCTCATTGTACTTACCGTTTTGTCGCCATTATCGTCGGTGGTCTTTTTCTTATACCACAATCTTTTTTTTTTCTTTCGTATATATTGTGTTTCTTATTAGAAATTAATTCTAATCAAAAAACTAGTGTTAAACAATTATTAATTTAATATTCTGTTGTTATTAAAATAACGTCGTGGATATGCAATTCACAAGATCGTTTTTAATGTATATAGATATGTAAATAATAAAATAGTTGTGGACTGAATATTTATCTTATTGGCCATTGCACCAAACGGAACCGGCCATAAGAAGCCCCTTATATAATTTCTATTTCCTGCAATCCATTGTGAATATACACTGCTTCCTTCCTTTGAAACCCGCGTCGATCCCGTGTTGTTATTATCCAACTTTCCCATCTGCCATCTGAACAGCGAACAGTTATAGTGTGCGTTAGGTTGCCTACCCAAAATTGATAAGGCGCAACGACGCAATTTCGGCTTCAGTCTTTTTCTCGTGTCGAAAAATTTCGACTGGTCCTTCGTTCAAGTTTTATTTTGTTGCTTTACCATACATTAGATATGGTCCTTCGAACCGGATGGTTAAAAAAAGCAAAAAAAGCAAACCGTGACCTCTGTTCAGTTCATATACTTAAATTTATTTTGTTTATTTTTTAATACGTGGTCTTTTCAAATTTTTTTTTTTTTGCTATTGACTTGTCAACGTTTTTTGGTCTATCGTCTTTTGTTTTTTAACGTCGCTTATAATCCAAATTAAATATTTGTTGTTCTGTTTGCGTGTCGTGATACTGTAGTTACCTGCGTGCTCGTTACCCAAATACGTTTACTCATCCCTGTCGTCAAACTATAGTATCTTACGCTCAAAATACCAAAGAATATTTTTTATTGATAATCTTCAGTTGTTGTCAGAAAAATGTCTCTTCCAGCATCAGTTGAATATATCGATATTGTATTTTAAACGTTTTAAACCTTTTACTTAATATTGAATATAATTTGATTGTATTAAATATAAAATAATAATGATATTTTCTTAACTGCATAATAAATAAATAACATAAACTATGCTAGTTATAATTACAAACAAACAACTCCAATTTCTAAAAATAGCATTCTGGTATAAATTAAGCATAACGTATTTAAGTATTTGTATATATTATTATTATCACACATTTGAATAATGGTAAAATGCATTGTAATAAATTTAAAGCGATAAACTATGGTCAATTCTTAAAGATTATAATTTCTTAGTTTTTACATTAGAAAACTTTTCATATAACTATACGAATGTATTTTGATAGGATATTAAAAAAAGTACACATGTTTTTGCTTAACACCAAAAATATATTTCCAACTTTTAATTTCAATTAGGAAGTTTCTTATACAGTAAGTTAAACCAGTATCATGTCTCAGATGTATTAAATCACATACAAAAATTATGTAACTATATATTTATATATTAATTTAAATAAAAATGAGTCTGTAGATGCTTGTGTCCGGTCACTCATTCTTCTTTGAACAAAGCGAGGAAAACGGGCAGGACTTCCTTTTTGATTTTGTCTTTAACTCACGGAGTTTTTCATTCCTTGCGGCAATATACTAAAATCATTTTATAATATTTGTTTAAATAAATAATAAGTTGTATTATATTATAAGTGTAGATGTTTATACATTTTAGCTTCGGTGCGGAGCTGAAAAGGTATTGTTTTTACAATGATGTGTTTTTTAAAATTTAATTTTAATATATTTTTTTTTTGAATCTGGACCTACGATATCTCATAAACCGCTAAACCGATTTCTTCGTATAGCAACTCTATAAATCAGAAATCATACTGGAATAGTACTTTAACTGACAGAAAATTTCAAAAAATTACCACTTCCCAATTAAATCAAGAAAAACACCCAAAAAATTTAGAAATTGTTCAAATTGCGATGCTCTATATCTTTTTTAAAAATAGTCGAAAAAGTTCTAAATTTAAATGAATTGTTTTTCAAACATTGTTCTATCGATAAACATTAACAAAACAAAAAAATATCATAGACCCTTTCCCTTAGAAGGGATAGCATTTTTTTCTTGTTTTCACTTTTCCCAGCAAAGTTTAAGAGATTTAGATCTAAAAATTATTTCGATAGTAGATCCAAAATGGAACTATAACATGTACAATTTTTTAAAAAATAGGGTAAATTTACCGATCGACATTCAACAGGTAATAAAAATATTTTTATTGGATTGTCAAATACGATTTTTGGGTAATTATGACAGTAAATTATCATAGACAGACGATCAACCCTTATTGTATCCATCCTACTGCCTACACAAGACTAAATATTCAATTTTAAGTACATTATTGCTGGTCCCACAATATCTTCTAAGCCGCTATAACTGGTTTAAACATACTATCCACAGATTTGTATCGAAGGGTTTATTTGAAAGTGATTTTATCACTTTCAGTTATAGTTAAGTCTGTAGACCCGTCCCCACTATGCCCCAACTGTACTGGCATTTTTTTTTACAATTATTAGATTAGTTAGCTCATATGTAAGCTTAGGTTTCGTTAAATGTAAGTGTACATTTTTTTTTTTTTTAGGAAAGCGGCTTATATAACTATTACTGTCAGTCCTTATTTGATAAAAGGTCCCTTAAGTTAGTGAATAAAACAGAAAATGTTTCAAAATCGGTTTCAAGAGTTTTCCATCTAATTAGGATAAAATACTAGTATGAATATTACCTCATTCTCGTTTTTAATATCCTCGGCAATTAACTCCGCGTTATCTCCGATTATTGGAATACCTGTAAAATGTTTGAATTAGTTACATACGAAATACAGTTCATCAGTTTTAACGAATACAACAAAATCATGTTCCAGTCGTTTCGTACCAGTGCGATTTTTTATTTTGATATAATATTTAATTGTATTATGCACCACAAATCAATATAATTAAGGTATAACAATAGTTTTTTCGAAATTTCGTTTTAAAATATATACCTTACTATGGAAATCAGCCAATGATTACATACCTGATTGGCGTAAGCGGATTCGCAATCTCCTATCGACATTTTCTTCTTCCTAATATGATATCAAAATATTTAAATAAAAACTTTTTTCTATGTTTCATACCTATATTAGTATAGTTTTAAGTTTCAAGAATTATACACTATTAGATTAGATAAAAATACTAATTAACAACTTATACAATAAATAATAGTGTATATAGTAATTAATCTATAGTCAGCGTTGTCAGTTTTTTTGCTTATTATTTAAAAAAATCTATTTTGAATTGTTTTGCCCGCCCTAATAAAAGTTTAGTCCAAAAGGTTTAAAACACATAATGACTTATATTAATTACATTTTAAATTTATAATAATGTGTAAATACTGTTTAAAATAATAAACTTCTTAGTACGTTATTTTATAAAAAAAGTTATTAATACACATTTTTTATTATTTAAATTGTATTAGTTTATTAACCTTATTAGTTAGGTTATAGTTTTAGTGAAAAGTTAGTGTTTAATATTTTTGGCAAAGGAATCTGGCTTATATAAACATAACTGTCGACCCTAATTTAATAAAAAAGTCTTTGAAATTGGTAAATTAAGAAAAAACATTTTTAAATCTTTTTCAAGAACCATAACCAAAAGCCAAAAATGTATATTGATTATTTTAATTTATTATATTGTATCGATGTATGTGTAAAAAATACACTATTATGTGAATTTCGCTACTTTTACATGTGTTAAGGATAAAATATTAAATATAAATTACCTTAGCCATGTAAGCATCATCTTCGGCAATTATCTTCTCAATTTCATCTGCTGAAACTATTTTAATGGATACAGTAAAATTGTTTACCATTCGTTGTGAACAAGTCCGCTTTTTATTTTCGATATTTTTTTATTTTATTAGGTACCACATATCAATATTAATATGGTATAAAAAATAGTTTTTCGTAATTTGTGTTTCAAATTACTTACCATTATCAATTTTTGGTTCGTTACCATTTATGCGATAGATGAATCGCCCCATTTTTTCAAATTTTTCGTCTATCTAAAATGACACATAAAATAATTTTTCTTATGACATACTAATATTATTAGAGTATTAAGTTTAAAGACTTATACACAATTAAATAATAATACTAGTAAAAAACTTAAATTAAGAGAAACCGATTTGAATAACCATTATTTTAGTTTGCTTTAATTAAATTAAAGGTCTTTAAAGTTGGTTAAAAAACTAAAAATATTTTAAATCTGTTTCAAAAACTGTAACCAAAAGCCAAAAATGTGCATCGATTGCCATCCCTCGGTTTAAACAGTATACTCTTATGTAACTTTCGCTAATTTTATATATGTTTACGATAAAATAATAATAGAATACCGCTTTCTCGTACAAATCTTGATTGACCTTAAAAAAACAAAGTATTAAACATAAAATTAACACTTGTTTAAAGTCTATTTTAATTTTAAACACATATATTTCTCTATTAAACATGTTTACAAATAAAATGTAGTAATATGTAAATTGCGCTACATTTACATTAGTTTAAGATAAAATTCTAAATATACATTACCTCTTTCAGTTTCTCTCTGTCTTCTGCCTTAAAAACAAAGTATTAGACATAACATTAACACTAGTTTAAATCCATATTAATTTTTAACAAGAATTCATGTGCGGTTATATAATATACGTTAGTATAGAAAGTGTTTGTTTATAGAAACGAACTTTTAGTTAGAACATTGCATCATAATTTTACAATTTATTGTGATTTCATATTTAGTTGTCAAAATCCTAATTTATTTTAAAAAAAAAGTTATTGAATTGTTTTAAACAACATTTTTAGTTCCTAAACCTGGAATAGCGCTAATTTTAGAACTGTTTACGATAAAATATTAAATATGAATTACCTCCTCCTCGATTAATTCCCTTATCACCTTAAAAACAAAATATTACACATGAAACTAATTCTGGTTTAAAATTTATTTTAATTTTTAACATACTCATTTTTTAATAATTAAAAATGTTTTCAACTAAACTGTAGTAGGTGTGTAGTAACGGTTACACTTTATAACACGCGGTTTAATAATACATTTTAATCAATTATTTAATTATCGATTACCTTCTGCTCATCTGAGTGTAGAAAATATTGGTTATTAAAAAGCAAACTATTAAGCATAACACAAATACTTGTTTTGCATGCATAATAATCATTTTAAAATGTTCAAAATTTCACAACTAAAATAGCCCAAAATTGGCACAAAATTTGGCACAACGGCAAGTATTATATATAGTGTAACTAAGGGGGATAGTCTGAGTTCTAAGTAAAAAAAAAGCAAGTTCTGCTTTGGTGGCCACGTGAATCAAAAACGTAGCTCTATGTTCCAAATGTTCAAAATGCTATCACCAATGATTCGTAAAATATTTCTACGTTGCCCATGACGCTGAAGCCAGCAAAAAGGAATGATATCTCCAACAAAAACCTAACAATGAAGAGCCAATTTCCAGATCCCCTCTCAAAAAAGTCAACCAATCAAGTGTTAAGTGTTAACCTAACCTAACCCACTTGGTCAGTTTCTGAATGAAACAAGACCTTTCTAAATGAGGCATAAAACAGACTTGGCCACAATGTGAGATACCACTATTTCGATATCAGAACTTTTGTTGTTATAATCATAATTACTAATACATAATTTTGTAATATTATTTTATGGTACTTATATATTATAGTCCTGGTACGAAATTTTGAGTTTTCAAACCCAAAATAGTGTAGCTTTTAAGGGCATTCGATACCGGCCGGTTTTTCAGTCAAAACACAGGATTATTTTGTCAATCGCACAGGCCGAACTAATTAACTAATAAGTTATTTGAAAACAGATTTGAACTCATCATGAAGTTTACTTAAGATCCTACAACGCACTTTTTTCAATTTTGAATTTTAACCCTTTACAAATTTGATTTTAAAATTTGAAATTTTATAAAATGTTCAAACGTTTCTTATTCATAGTAAGAAAAATATATCAACAAAGTACCTTGTAGGATCCCAAGTAAACTTCATAACGAATTCAAATCTGTTTTCAGATTACTAACTGGAATACTCGTTTAGCCTGTGCGATTGACAAAAAATGTTCTATTATATTAACTAAAATGGCTTTTACTCATAGACAAAATTATTTAAATTAAAAATAATACCATGGATCTTATACAAAGTAACTTTTAAGTTAATTGACATGAACGAAATTTATTTAAACCGCTTTTTTCTTGAATATTGCCTATTACAAATATTAATTACCTTTATCTTCAGATCATTATGCCGTTCTAACGCTATCTTTAAAACAAAAAAAATGAAACACAAAATTAACTCTTGATTTAAATCCACTTTAAATTTTAACGTATCATTTTTTTTTTAAATAATGGAAATGTTTTATGAATGCCATGTTTACACTTTTCAATATATGTTTAAATAATAAGTTAAAAAAAAAAATACTTAAATATTGATTACCTTCTGCTCCTCTGTGAGTGGTGTAGAATATGATTGTTTTAAAAAACAAATTATTAAGCATAACGCAAAAACTTGTTTCATATGCAAAACAGTCATTTTAAAAATTATTCAAAAGTTTTAAAATATATTTCAATTAAATGTAGTGTTTAAAGACCAATTTTGTTTTAACGCCACTTCAACGTGAAAAGTGAAAAGATAAAATGAAACAACGTAGGAAATTTTAGTGGCAAAACGGATAGGTTTGGTAAAAGACTTTTTGCATTTGTTTGCCTGTAGACATATTTTATAGATACTAAGTACATAAAGAATCTAAAAAGTATGCCATAAAGACAAACAAAAAAAAAATTGTTTTTTTCGAAATCCAACGGTGTTTTAACGAAAATGCGTAGAGTAAATATGGTCGTATTACATGTTTTGTTTATATTATAATGTATAAATACCAAAATAAGGTCACAGTTGAACTTAGATGTTCTAAAATGTGAATAAAATTTCTTCTTTTCAACCGTTTCATACTTTTAACGTGATTATTTTCCACAGTGAGTATCGTTATAATGTATATTTTTTATCGAAAAAAGTTGTATTTTACAATGATATCTACGTTGTGAACGTCACACAGTGTGTAATGCGAATATTAACTTGTAGGCATGGTATTATTTTCAGTATTTACATTATAAGTGTTGTTCTCTGATATAACAAATAACACAAAATATAAAATGAATAACAATATAGTCATATAATCATATAATATAAAATAGTAAGAGTCCATCGCGGTATGCTATATTTGAACTTGGAAAAGAAACTATAATACACTATCTTACTCATGGAAAATAAAATAATCTAGACAAGGTTTTTATGCGGTTTTCGACCGCCGTACAGTGGGCAAAATAGCTGATTTAGGCGGACAAAGGTCATTCTCAGAATTGTTCTCCATTTAATGCTAGTTGTTTTCTTTGATAGTTGGGAAACCCAGAAACAGCATAGCTCCCATTGAAAAGTTGTTCATAATTATTAATACGTGACGGTTTTAAGACATAGTTGAACAAATTTATGTTATCTCGCATTGTTATCAGCGTCAATTCTGTTGCTTATCAGTTGTAATAATTATTACAACTACAACAATTTTGAAGTTATTTTTAAAATAGTTATATTTAAGGAGTAAAACTTTGATATGGATGCTTTCTAGCAAGGTAAGTACGAATAAAAATTAAAGAAAATTTTAAAATGGAAATGTGTACTGAAACTTCTGCACTGATGGCGAGCAGACGACGAAAAAGACAGTAAAATAAGTATTTTCTACTTCTTCGGTGTTGCATAGACACAAGTGCAAAAAAAACCGTATTTGCCAAACCATGTTATTTTATGATCTTTGATATTAAATTCTATGGCTCTGTGATAGGTATTCGATTCTATAGGATATAAAAGCTTTTTGCTAGACAAAGACAAAACCATGATTTTGTTTTCGTATTATTGTAAAATTTTCTTACCACTGTTGTTTGTGCTTATTACAACGATTTGTGTGTTTCTTTTGTCATTACTACTGTGTTAAACATTTTCAGCAACCAATTTCTTGTCAAAAATAGTAGTCAATGCTTGTTTTTATGTAAAATATGTAAAATAAATAAATAATAATACAAACACGATCATTTTCGTTATCATAAAAATGTATTTTTTTTTTATCCATATTGCTACCAATTATTGGTCTTAGGGCATCTAAACATTTCTACATCCGGTCATGAATAATTGTACATATATTTTATATTTATATTTATTTAAAACTTTTTGAACGTATTATTTGGTATTATCATAGTTATACCTTTTCTAAATAATTGTATATATTATTTTACTTTCTTCCACGGAAACGTATTGAAAACTCATTTTAAGTTGTGTTATTTATTTAAATAAGAAGATAACAAGTCATTTTGATGTGGTGTTTTGTATGCTTGTTCAAACAGTTAGCTGTTAGTCATACAAAAATGCACTAAATAAGAAATATATTATCCAAAACAAAATCAACATCGACCTAGTTACATTATTTTAAGTGCCTAAAAGAAATATGTACCTATTGTTTTTAGACCACCTCATTAAACAATTACTGATTGAGTGATATCATAATTTTTAATTTACAGTTAATTTACAGTAGAGGGTAAAAAAGGAAATGTTACAATAAAATTCCTTCAAATCATTATCTCAGCGATAGTAAAGTGAAATTTTACAATAGGCAAAGTTAAACGGTATTAGTGTGGAAAAAATTGTTGGGTGCCGCAAACTTCAACGGAATGCGTAGTATGTTCACGGAAAAACACACCCAGTTGGTATTGTTGCTCGTACTCCTGAAGTCGCTTGAAATTTGTCGATGTTCTCAGCTCGACCAACGATTGGATCGCTCTAAAACTGACATCTTCAAATATGTTTTTCATATATCCGATCAAAACTTGAGCGCACAGAATGGTCGTTTTAATGTGTTCAGCTGAGGCTCTCAATCTGGGGTCGACCGAAATTCCGTATTCGTCCGCGGTGTCCATTATCCGGGTTTTTTCGATTTTGATATTCT